ACTTCGGCCCCTTAGTGTTTGTAGTTGTATACCATGTAAGGTTCGGTATACTTAGTTCACTATAAACAATAGCTCTGATACCAATCTGTCACACCCCAAAACCGAAATGGCGGAAACGTTCTGGGGTGGAGGACGTCATGCGTAGTATCACAACAGTTGTATCATAGTAAGCGAAGTAAACACAACCATTACATTATAATAAGAATATTTACATTGTTTGAAAACATGGTTTATACATAACAGTATATAACAAAAGTAAAAGACGTGACCCCAAAATGCTTCGTCTTCTCCAAAAGTTGGCAGGAGTACCTGTCTATTGTTGCCCTGAGAATACAAGCAGTTTTGAAAAATATCAGCATAAAGCTGGTGAGTTCATAAACGTTTAGTTCTGGTGAAAGAAATGTTTCTTTGATCCTTTGAAAAGTGTTTCCCAAGAAAATCCTATATTTTCTTATGAAAGATGTTTGATTATCCATTCGTTACTTGTTTAACGGCCTGTTTAAGTAAGGTTGAGTTATCCTAGGAAAATCCTATATTTTCCTTAAAAGTTGATAGTTGGTTAACAGTTCTGGAATGAAGTGTACAAGTATCTACCATACTTGTATCGTTAGATGTAGTTTCCTGAAAAACCCTGTTTGCTCTCAGTGAGGTGTATTAGCCTTATTACATAAATAAAACTAATAAATAAGTAGTGAACTAGATCCTAAGGGTATTACTAATGCCCTATACTAATCAAATCGGTTATTACTTTGAGGTTAGTTCACTTGTTTCATTATTACAAAAAGTAAATTCTCGTTACCTAAGTTGTGAGTGTCATAACCGTACTTAGACTGGATATGGCACGTACCGGGGGCCAGTATCTTTTATGACTTTGTCACCCCTAAACCTAACGGTCCCGCTGTAGCTAGCAGCGAAGGTGCGGGATAGTCAGTCCTATATAGATCTATACGCAATAGTCATTCTCTCCCTCCAAGAGATTCTGGTTACAAGTGTTAATCCTACACTCTCGTATCCGGTGGAGTGTTACCAAGGACGTGTCTCAAAACTTAGCCTAACAAATTTACAAGTAATAATACTGAAAATCCTATTTATGTTTTGTATAAATCCTTTGCAAAATATCGCATGTTATGACAAGATTCACAAGTTCCTTGCTTTAGTTTTGAAAACTGTTTCTACGAGTTGATTTCTTAATCGTTTGGTAAAACTGTTTTCTGTGTTAAAAGCATACTGAACATATAATTATTTTAAACAAAATAATATACTTTAGCACAAGTTTCCTTGTACTTTTGCTTGTATTCCCCCCTGAAAACATGAAAAACTCGGAAAAAGCGTAGGGGTATGAACTCACCGTTTGACGTAGGATCTGGGTGAATGATCGGTTACGAATGCTGAGTGTCAACCGATGTTTCGTACGCAAGTGGATCCTATTAACATGTGATAACACATATGTGTGTTAGAATTAGGGTGTTTCATGACTAAACATGACGGGAAACCACCCTAAAGACTTGGAAATGTTTGTCGGGACCCTATATTATCAAACAAGGGAGGTGTACGGCCAAAGGAGTGTGTGCGGCCAGGGTGTGCGGTCAGCCTGTGTGTGCGGTTGCACACAGGAGTGTGCGGCCGTACAGGGGGTGTGTGTGGTCGTACATGGGGGAGTGTGCGGCCGTACAGAGAGGGTGTGCGGCCATACACAAGGGTGTGCGACCGTACACTCCTTATTTGTGTCCGAAATGTCGATTTTGAGGTGTTCTAGTGCTAATACCAAGTCCAACTAGCAAATGGAGGTCAAACTCTTCACTTTGGAGAGTGTTAAGGTGTGTGCGGCCACCTCATGAAGGTGTGCGGCCGTACACCTTCAAGGGATGAAGAACACGAAGAACACTATGAGTTTTAGGCTTAGATTCAAGTGTTTTACCAATATAATAAGCTGAATGATGAAGTAGTTCACGTTTTTGAGGCCTTTAGAGTGTTCTTGGATGAAGTTTTTAGAGAGAGAAAGTAAAGTGCAGCCAAATGAAAGGAATGAGTGAAGGGGGGTCACCTTATATATATAAGGGTGAGTGTGCGGCCGCACACCCGGTGTACGGCCGTATACTCCTCCCGAGAGGGTGTATGGCCCGGTTTTGTCTCTATACGACTTGTTGACTCATTTCTAATCTCATTCCCGGCTGTACTCAAGCTTAGAACACTTAAACTAACTCTTAAACGGCGTTAAAAGGTAATGGAATCAAGTTCAATGTTGATAAAGTTGACCAAGCGTACAGAATAAAAGTTTCGGGTTGTCACATAGCCCGATCACAAATCAATATTGGAAAACCAATATGCACCCTGAAGCTGGTCGAAAAGATCATAAAATCCTCGGGAGTGAATAACGATTCTTCATCATTACCTAATTCAGCTCTGGTAGTCAATGCACATACGATGAGACTCATCCTTCTTCTTCAAAAAGAAGATCGGTGCTCCCCATGGCGAACTCCTCGGTCGAATGAATCCTTTGTCTAACAACTCATGTAGCTGTGAAGACAAGTCTTGCATCTCGGGAGGAGCCAATCGATACGGTGCATTGGCTATCGGAGCCGCACCTGGAACCAGATAAATCCTGAACTCAACCCGCCTCTCTGGAGGAACCCCATGCAAATCCTCTGGAAACACATCGGGATAATCCCATACAATCGGCACATCATCCACATTCGCCTTACCCTTATCCCGGGTATCCATAACATAATCCTGAACAACCCTATTGCAAATAACGTCTGACCCTCGCTACTGAACACAACATCTGTCCACTCTGAGCTTTCTCCCCCAGAACCACCAACTCTCCCCCACTCGGGGTTCGAATCCGGACTAACTGCTGCTCATAATCGATCACCACCCCATTCTAGTTCAACCAATCCATACCCACAATAACTTTGTTCCCACGTAAAGGAATGGGAACCAAATCAATCAAATCCTCCTCGCTGAACAACTGTAGAGTACAACCCCGATGAACCCTCGCAACCCGAATAGATATATCATCTGCGATCTCGACATCTAATGGACAATCCAACTCCACCAGAGCTCCGACGAACCTCTTGCTAAGGGCAAGCGATACAAAGGATTGGGTAGCCCCCGAATCAAACAACACCAAAGCAAAAATACCGTTCACGAGGAACGATCCTAAAATAAAACACATAAATATAAGAAGAAATTCAATATAAATAAAGATATAAGGAGAAGATACATACCCGTCACCACATCTGGTGCTGCGCGAGCCTCCTTGGTCGTCAACTGGAAAACCCTGTCCTTACCACAGGTGCAACCCACCATCATCCCCCATTATAGGGTTCGATGTCCCCGTCGAACACATCGACCCACGCCCCAGCTCTGATACCATTTGTAACATCCCCATCTGGCACGCATCACAATATTGTCCGCTTTTGGGCTCCCGACATGAAAACTTCCCAGGGGGTCACCCATCCCTGGATTGCTCTCGCCCGAGCATGCTTAACTGCAAAGTTCTTGTAGGATCTGCTGCCCTCACGACCTTAAAATGCGTTGTGACAAGGAAGGTATCCACAACCCTTATAAGGAAATGTTTCGTTCTCCTTCCAAGCCGATGTGGGATCAGGTGCAACCCACCTTTCGGTGGGTTGCACCTGACCCGACATTGATTGGGAAGGAGAACTAAACATCCCTTATAAGGGATTTGGATACCTTCCTTGTCACAACGTGTTTTAAAGCCGACGGGGCAGCAGATCCCATAAGAACTCTGCTGTTAAGTGTGCCCGGGTGAGAACAATCCAGGGATGGGTGACCTCCTAGGAAGTTTTCTTGCTGGGAGCCCAAAGCGGACAATATTGTGAATGTATATACATCATTTTTAATACCCACATATAAATATATTTTTACCAAAAACATGCCAAAGCCAATATCTACACAAATATTAATATTACCTAGACATAAAAACACTATTAACTAGGACTTGGAATGCGATTTTTGAAATGGTTAGATGTTACTTTTAATCGGTTGGATGCTATTATGAATTTATTTGACCAAGTGGATGCACTAAAGTGTAGCACACATAAGAAGAATGTTATTGACATTGTTGTTGCTACTTCGACTTGGTACATATGGAGGTTTTGTAATAACAAAGTTTTTGGAGATGGTAAGATGCGAAAAGATACAGTTTTTGATTCTATTATAGAGTTTTCGTTTCTTTGGGTTAGCAATACATTTCCTAAGCATACTTTTAAATGGGTTGATTGGATGCACTACCCGTTACACAATTTGTAATGTTTCCTTTTTTCCTCTAGCTCTTTGCTAGAGTTTCGTTTTAATATATGGCTACTGTTTAAAAAAACACCATTTCCCACACATATTTTTAAGACACATGTAGTGCACATCATTCAACATGTCATCCATGCAGACCACGTTAACGACCACATCAACGGCCACGTCAACAACCATGTCATCGACATCACAAACAAATCAAAATATCTCTATCCACACATACTTACTACTTTTAACCACACATACACATGTAGATATAGATTACTCGTTAGCTTCACATAAACCATGTGACAGTAACGATGTGTTTCAACAGGAATGAGACATAGTGACACTTAAATTATATGCTAAGGCCGAACCAAGTAAATTCTTGTGTCGTATATTCATTCTTTTCTTGATTACACTTGCTTAACAATACCTAACACTTTTGTTAGGCCTACATATCTAGAATCAGTACCTAGCTTTTAAATTTACGTGCTTATTTTACATAAAGTACAAATAATAGTATATACAAAAAATGGTATTGAATTTAGAGGATCTTTTGGTAAATTAACAATTGAGATAAGGACAAACTTGGAAATTTGAAAAGCAATAGCAAGTTTTTGTTGTCTTCTTCAAAATTTCTTTTATAGTAATGAAACAATGAGTCTGTTGAATCCAATTTCTCTATCCAAACACCAAAATTACTAAGCATTTTCTTCATTTTGAACATTGGGTTTCTTCCAAAGTTCATGGATATTGATATTTCACACATTTCTTTGGTGGTTCTGTTTCTTTTTAAGCTTCAAATTTCAGCTTTAATGACGGATGTTAGTAGCAGCAACCCAAAGCTCGTTCTTTTCATTGGTGTCCTCTTTCTTTTTCCTCTGTTTTCTCATCCTCTCGAGATTCCAGCGAGACACCTGTTGGATTATTCACCACCACCTACAACCACCGTCACCATCGGTGATCTTGGATGGTTTCTTGCAGCTGCTCATGAAGTTCCTAGTGGTGCAAACCCAGATTCCAACAGGTGAAAGAATAGGATTTTAGTGGCTAGTGGCGGTAGTAGAGTTGCTCCGGTGATGATTAAGTAATTGATGTGGGTTTAAAGAATGTAGATTATGTGATTCCGCCATTGTCAGGCATGGATGTGTATAACTTTATGTATGTGTTCTTCCAACTGTGTGATGCATGATAATGAACACCAGGGAAAATTTGGTTTACTAATTGAATGTTGGTTTTCTTTCTGAAATCAAATTACACTATTGGATTGAGCGCAAACCTTGAAAAATAAACATTTTTAAATAGAAATGTGAATTATAACGTACGCTTTTTGCCTTCACATTCTTATATAATATGACAATTGTAACAAAAAAAGTGATATCATGATTGAGAAAATATTTACTCGTTATAAAAATCTGCCATTGGACTTATTTTACTTTATGTAATTCTTGTGTCGTGTACTACAACCAAAGGTGACCATTAAAATTTTTAAATCATTACTCAATGGTTTTGAATTAAAAATTAACCTGTATATAAGAAACATATTTTCAAAATATTGATTGGTTTTACCACGTTCCATTGGATCGTGGATTTTGATTAATTAAACATATTTCTCTACTATGAAATAGATGATGTTTTTTGCTATAAATTATGTCATTCATTTGAGACAAAAAGATTTCTATCAACCGTAAAAACGAGCAAAGGGGTATGAATATGATGGGATTGGGGAAGGAACAATGTTCGTCAATTGGAGGAATTATTGGTTAGAAAACCATGTACTCTAGTAATTGTCTTGGTTTTCAATATTCATGAACTGATGGTACAACAATGATTATTTTGAATTATTATTTTTCCAAAAAGAAGTGATCTATGATCATTCTTTTTTATTCGAGACATACGTACAATATGCATAAAACATATAATTATTATAGACAAAATTACATAAATCGACCCTGTGGTTGACAAATTATAACATCGGAGGTCCTTTTCAAAGTCTGTGAACACCATGGGTCCTTTTGAGAAGAAATTTTCCACATTTTGACTATGCAATGGAGTTGTTCAAGAAGTATGATGTTAAGGCGCATGATCGGTTGAAGAAAATTCCAACAACAAATTGGAGTAGAGCTCATTTCAGTGGTTAGTTTTTTTCCCTGTTATTATTACACTATTTTTATATCAATTGTAATAAATGTATATAATCTTATATAGGAAGGGAAAAGACAGACAGCTTGACAAATAACTTGTGTGAGGTATTTAATTCAAAAATCAGTCATGCTAGAGACAAACCCGTGATCACTTGTTTGGAATATATTAGAGAATACTTGATGAAAATGATAGTTGTTGTTCAAAAATCCATTGACAAATCCAAATGACCACTAACACCAACAACTACAACCATTTTTAATGGTGTTGATAAGACACAAGTTACCACTCCAAGGAAGGACCAATATGTGGTCAATTTGAAGGAAAAAACTTATGAGTGCAATTTGGGACAAAATCAAGTATGGTGGAAAAAAGTACATGATATAGAGGCATGGGTTCATCCAATTTATTGGCTTGGAACATGGGCTGATATGTATAGCCATAAAATAGACCCTATTAATGGAAAGAGCATGTGGCGCAAATCAACATGTCCCTTTATACTAATGCCCCCTAAACATCATATTCATGTAATCTTTAAAATTTAACATAATACTCAGGTACTAGGTACTATCTAGTTCTAATATTTTTCTTTTTTATTTCTAGGTTGGGCGGCCGAAAAAGAAGAGAAAGAGAGCTGTGGGTGAGGTTGTGACTACAGGGAAAAACTTGAGCAGAAAGTACATCACAATAACATGCAGCAAGTGTGGAAACAAAGGGCACAATCAAAGAAGCTGTAAGGGTCAAGGTGGAGAAGGAGAGAGGATGAATGATGGTGGTAATGAAGTGCAGAAGAGAGGCAAAGCAGTGGCTGATGGGTGATATGTGTTATGTTTATGTTTAAAGGTACTTTTGCTTGTGGTTATTTTTGGTTAAACAATTTATGACTTTTGCTTATGGGTAGTGTTTTGGTTAGAGATATTTTTAGTACAATGCTTTTGTGACATTATATTTTAATTTAGTTTGTGTAAACATCATGCTTTTGTGAAATTTGATTTTAATTTAGTTTGTGTAAACATCATACTTTTGCTTACACGATGTTATGTCACTTTCTTTTTTTTGGTTTCTCTCATACCTTTGTGTAAACATCATACCTTTGTGTAAACATCATACATAAAAGACTAATGTCACTTTCGTTTTTTGGTTTCTCTCATGTTTAAATGTTTCTTACATGATGTTATGTTAATATAATCCTGGAAGATGTAGTATTCAAGAAGCACTTAACAAAAAAAGGTATCCCTCTTATGAAAATTACCAAACTACCCTTTACCAATTCTAATATGGATAAACACCATTCCTTAATATTATTGCAGAAAAATTATTGATCTCAGTGGAATACACAATCCGAGAGTCACTTTGCAAAAGATGCAACAACAGAATTTTTGCAGCTTGCTTAGTCAAATAGTCGATTGCAAGAACAGAATAGCAAAACAAATACTTTCATTTCTTAACAACACACATTACAAAAAATGCACCAGGTTCCTAATTCTAAATGCTTTAGAAATTTTCCCATTCTTACCAAAAACAAAAAGAACCATTGAAAACCCTAACTACTAAAATTTTGCAACAAACAGGCACATTAAAATCAAAACCCAACTACATATCAATCCAAACTTCAACCTTCGATTTTGAATTTGCAGTGTATCAATATCTTTTGATCTCTGTTCCTACGATGTAGCAGGCCCGGGATGAAGACGAACGAAGAAGAAAGAAGAAGAGAAGTGAATGTGTTTGCGTCGAATTGAAAAGTCTGGTATATCCCTCATGAATACATAAAGCAAATCAGAAAAATACCAAATTGCCCTCACAGAATGGGCGCGTGAGAGAGACTAACGTCTCTAAGTTAACGGTGTTAACCAAAAGGACCCTTCGTGTGAAAATTTCTTCTCAAAAGGCCCATGGTGTTCACAAACTTTGAAAAGGACCTTCGGTGTTATAATTTGCCAACCACAGGGACCATTTATGTAATTTTGTCTTCTTTTTTTCAAATACTAGGTCAATAGTCAGTTATCAATCAAGGATTTGAATTCATGTCTTTCCAATATAAATGAGGTGATAAAATTACTTAGCTGAAAAGTTTATCTAGTCGGATAATACTATTTAACTCAGGAACAATCGGGACAAAAATTGGACATGGCAATGGCGCTGACAACCCATATATGGCTTGAAATTGACGATTTGGCTCAACTTTGTTCCACGGTACAAACATTATCCTCATTTAATAACAATGAGGAATGATGGGTCTTGTCCGAGGAACCCTCCGGTATCTTCATACTAAAATGCTTAACAAAACTAATCAAGAATAAACTTTTCACGTCTGTGAATGATAATGTCGTCAAATGAAACAATAGGGCACCTATTAAAACAAATGCTTTTATTTGGAGAGTAACCTTTAGTCTTATACCTATCCTCATTTCTGTCTAGTATAGAGATATTGATATATCTTACACATTGTGTCTAACGTGCAAGACGTCTAATGAGGATCTGAATCACATATGTGCCACGTATCCCATTATAAAATCTATATGGAACGAGATTAATGATTGCTGTAACTTGGGAATATTGAGTTTTACATCAATTAAGTTGTTAGTTTAGGCATTAAACAAAACAATAATATCGATGTTGGGCAATTTAGAAGGCTAGAATCATAACTACCTTACAATATAAGAAGCCTGGTGATACTGATCTATTGGAAGAAATCAAGGTGATGTCTTTTAATTGGATAAAGAGCATGGAAAAAATATTTTACTGGAGTAGGTATCTTGGTGAAACCTTCCTTCTTTAAGCCAAAAAAACACAAGGCAAATGCCAAAAAGTAATCTAATCACTTTAATCAACATAAAATATTGGGTTTTATTCATAACATTTTTCCCTAAAACACTAAAAACGGCAATGGAATCTTTAAAATTAGATTAAACTTAAAACCATTTTTAACCCACTAAGGATCATTTTGCAATCATAAAAAGATTAAATCAACCATAGAAAGGAAATGATTACAACATTTGAAGTCTTTGATTCTCATAAGAGATTGGAACTTGATCAAGTGTGGCAAGAAGCTCCAAAGAAGAAGCTCTCTATAATGTATCCACCAAGCAAGTATCAACCACTAAAACATGCTACTCTTCACTCGTATTAAGTTGTTCTTAAGCCTTAAAAAATTTATACCAAATAAACCTTAAATAGAGAAACAAATTAATCATTTAATGTCACACCCCCAAACCGGAACGACAGAAACGTTCGGGGGCGGAGGACGTCATGCTTAGTGTCACAACACATGCATCATAGTAATCAAAGTAACAAACAACCATTGCATTAATATTAAAGTGTTTTACAAAGTATGTGATTCACAAAAGATTAACTTCAAGTAAATAACAAAACAAGACATGAAGCTACTATGCTCCATCTTCTGAATCGCTGAGCGCGTACCTGTCTACTAGTTCCCTGAGAATACAAGTTATTTTGAAAGAGTAGATCAACATTTAAGCTGGTGAGTTCATAAGTATTTTAGTGATGAAAAGTAAGTTGTAAGTTCTTTCAGAAATGTTCGCCTGTTCCTCCAGAAAATCCTATATTTTCTGATGTGTTTGAAAGATATATAAAAATGACTCTACAATCCCTTCTATGAGTACTAAACGGACACAAGTTATATATAATTTAGAGTAACAGACAATCGATTGTGTGAATCTGCCCTAAGCCCACAACCAAACAAGGAACAGGGAATGAGGCGGAAATCACTCATCCCATTGGTTGTTAGATCTTCATTGTATATAACTCTGGCGTGTTCCTTTGGTACTTACGGAGTTAACTGTAATAGTTCTTTTATATTTGATGAAAACATTCTTTAAGAAAATCATATATTTCCTTTAGTAAAAATGGTAACCACAATAGTTCC